AAAATTGGGCATTTCTTTATTAACTTACTGTGGAAACTTTCAGAAAAAAAGAACAATTAAGTAGCAGTGGATCTTTAACTTCCAAAAGAAACTGGTTGTAAGTGAAATATTTTTTTGGCAAGATGTCAGACTGCTCAGTTGTAAGAATAAAAAATCTGTTAAATTACTTAAATTTAAAGGGGTAATAAAAAATAAAGAAATTTGTGAGGTTCTTTAAGAGCAAAATCGTTTTCTAGAACAAGAAATGTTTTCAGAATATACCTTGCATTATTATAGTATACAGCCGAATAAATTATATTATATTTGTTGAGTGACTTATTCAATTATCTTAAAAATATTTATATTAAATTTTTAAAAGAAATGTACTTTAAGTGTTTTAAATATTTTTCGTATCCATATCAACAAAATGTATCCACAAAAGTTTTGAACCATTTCCTTATAGCTACCAACAGAAAAGTTCTTAAATTCTCTAGAGTCTGAAATAGTCAGAAGCTTTTTAATTGCTGTAAAATTTAAATAATATTTCAAATTAGTATCTTCTAAGTAATTTAATTTGTTGACTTTAACAGGTAATTAAATTAAGTCCCAGTAGTCTCGTACGTACCAGGCTGCCATTGATTTTACCGAAATTAATCACCATAAATTGGCTTTAAAGTGCAGTTGACAGCATTTGTTGGCATGCAGAAGGATTAAGTGTGAAAATATTACTCACACATAAATGCACATTACTTTGGCCAAGGATGTCTTCGCAAACACATACAAATAAACACACGTGCATGTGAACACACATATAAACATTGCATTGGTGTGAAAGGGGATTGCAGTTAAAACCATTCTAACCACAAATCGCAAATATTAAGCAAAACCCAAGCAATGATTTAATTGGTCCTAAATTGTCGCAAATTTAATCCCATTTTATATTATCGTATTATGATTGGATATAAAAATAAAATAATGTTTAAAATGTTTTATGAAACTAATAAGTGTATGAGACTATAAACTGATATGAATATTCCTTAGTCCTTGACCTAGTACTAATATCTGCAAGGCGAAAATAATAGCTCCAAACGCATTCAAACTGATATTTACAGAATAATAAATTAAAGCTGTTATATTGAGCACATAAGTTTTTAAATCCATAGGGATACATACTGACCCACTCTATTGGTAATCTCTTCTTCTTCGGACATAAGGTCCTCGTCAATAGAATGAGAATACGAGAGTGCGCACAGATAACAACAACCCAAATTATTGATTCAATTTTATTCACAAGAACTTGGTTTCTACCGGCCCCGTTGTGGAAGATGATTGGGAAAAACCTCAGTTTACTTTCTAAAAGATTCAATGGGGGATGTAATTGGAGTTGACAGTTATTGTTTGTATTGTAAGTTTAGTGATTTGACACTTCTACTGTTGCAAATAGTACCACATTTCTACCGCAAAATTGGCAGTGACTTACTAATATCTCAATGACTTTGCTAATAAACCGTAAAAGTGACCTTTGCTACAAAGAAAATCTCATTTAGATCCATTCAATCACCAACAGAACTGCACAAAACGCTTTATTTCTACGGTTTGTAAGCTGGTGGCTCAACCACGCTATACTTCTTCTTGAAGTAATACAAGTGCTATCAATAGTGGCGCCTGATATTAAGTCATATTAAACTATTTCTTATCAGCAACAGTAATTGAACATAGGCTGGGAAGTTTTATCTCAACCCAGGAAATATCAAAGATTTTATAAACGAGTTTGCTCATCCTTACCCTAATGAGGAATATTTGTTGTTAAATTACAGTATTGTAGTTAATAACTTTCCTTATTATGTCACGAGGGAAAGGGTCAGAGGATGTATACTAGAAAATATTAATTTATGGCTGTATTTTTGTAAATTATTATTATCTATAGGTTATGTTGTCAATGGGCATCTGTCTCCTATCGCTTATAGATATGCCAGCCGAAACTGAAAATATGCATTACTTCTTATTACTTTATTAATATTATTATTAACTTTTCTTTACCAAAAATGGGATCAAATTACTTTTGTAGATCGAATCTTTGTTGTAATATGTTTGTAAATTACTCCACAAAAAACGGAGAAGACAACGCGAGAGTCAATTTAAAAAAAAGCTGGTTCAAGCTAACTAGTAAATATCACTAGTAAATGAGTACTAGTACTACTAGTAAATGACTACAAGTACTACTAGTAAATGACTACTAGTACTACTAGTAAATGACTCTTAGTACTACTAGTAAATGACTACTAGTACTACTAGTAAATGACTGCTAGTACTACTAGTAAATGACTACTATTAATACCAGTTAATGACTACTGGTACTACTTATGAATGACTACTAGTACTACAAGTAAATGACTATTAGTACTACTATAAAATTACTACTAGTACTTTAGTAGAACAAAGTTTAAGCTATTGACAGATTATGTGTCGGGTTGCCAAAGTTAACATTTTTATCTCAATAAAATAAGTCCATTTGAGGTAACAGAGAGTCGACAGTGCTGAAAAACAAAGAAGAAATGTGGTCACATTCTTTGTGACAATCCGACTTTGACCTAGGTGGAAAATATTAGAATTAGAATTATTAGAATTCAAATATTTTACTTCATACCTATTTCAATAAAACTATTAGAAAAATACTGAGCCAGAAGCTTTTTCGCCGCCTTAAATTATGAAATTCTTCACAGGTGACATTTTAGCGTTTATTGGTTATCCATTTTTAGACTGGATCAGTAAGATCATAAAGAAATTCAATTAATGGTGTTTTAACATTTATATAACGGAATAAGTGTCTTTTGCTCAGTTAAGGCTGGTTGCTAACGATTAAGATCCCAATTAAAAATTTATATATTTTTGTTATATTTCATTTTATATAATAAAACATAAAGTAAGAAAATAATATCAGTAAACTGAAATCCTCTGAAAGCTATAAAATAGTCTCAATTGACCAATAAATACATAGAATTTAAAATACAATTTTCACTTAGCAAAACTTTAACTAAAGTGTAAAATTGTTTCCTCTTCCTTCCTCTTCAATAGCCCACAATTGTGAAATTGATTTACCACAAAAATTAGGAATCAATGCCTTTCCACTGAAACTGATTTATTAACGAATTTATGAAATAAACTCGGAAAAAACGAAACCATAACCTCACCAGGCAATGGGGCAACTCCACTGCCATGAAACAACAATTTTAAGTTGTAAGTTAATATGAAAACAATAACCAGAAGTAAAATAAGAGCGATTTTAGTAAGAAAGGAGAAAGGAAACGAAGCGAGGGAACTGAGGAAAAGTACTCAATTCAAGAGTAAAAATATTTTGACCAAAACTGCAACCGCAAGGACAGCACACGTATAAACTGATTGTGAATTATTACCAGTCCAGCACAAATTTACTGGAAAATTGAGTCTTCTGTTGCGAATTAAAGTTGAAAACCATTTCGTTTCCCCTTAAACTAAATTGAAAAGAATTCAAAAAAACAAAAAAAAAAAACAAAACTAAACAAAAAGGTAAAACTCTTAAACTGTTGATTAAAATTGTATGACTTTGTGTAAATCCAAATATAAATCGCAACTAAAAGTGGGTATGAGTGAAGGTATTATGGTTACTTGGTTCCAAAGTATTTCATATTTGATTTGATTTTTAATAAAATACTCAAAATAATATTATAGCAATCATTTTTCAGAGAACAAAATTTAATTTATTGTAATTTATAAGGGGACTAAAAAACTAAACAACAATGTTTGTTAATAAAATTAATTAAATTAATATAAATTATTTAGAGACTAACAGGAGCTGCAATACCCTATTCACATGTAATCACTTCACAGACCTATTATTTTGTTTTTCTTACTTGAAATATTTTTAGTATATATTACTTTATTTTTTTTATATTCAACATACATATATATTTGCGTACATAAATTACATAAATATAATTATGTTATATATACAGAATTGCTGACGAGAATTGCAACAAAGTAAAACGCTCTATTTTATTATGTTTGTTAAATTTAATGAAAATATGCGAAATTAACTTTAAATTTTTAAGTTAATTTATTTGGATTCAATATGGCCATCTCTAGCATGAATTATGGCCTTCAAACGGTCAATAAAGCGATCGTACGCTGTCCATAAATGGCTCTGCGGTATTTTCACCCATTCTCGGCTAAACGTCTGCCGAGACGTTCGACATTTTGGTATTTTTTAGTATCAACCTTACTTTTTAAAATACCACAGACCGAGAAATCTAAAGGGTTTGTATCAGGTGAACACGTTGATCACTGTATTGATGGAATAAAGCACGGAACGTTGTTTTACAGTCATTCTTGGTTGACGTATGATTTGTGCGATGAGGCTGAGTTGTGTTGGAATATCTAACACCGGCGATCAAAATCCTTGTCTGCCCAAAGCCTAAGTGTTCCCCTTAAAATAATTTCCCGATAGAATATGAGTGGAGAGCGACTATCGGCCTACTTTCTGGTTTTCTGATTTTTATCAAACTTCTCTGACAAATAAACTCGATCATTGTTCTTGTTTACGAATGGTGATTAATCAGAAAATCCGAACCGAAAAAATCTAATTCAGTACTAACATCAATCATATGTTTTACAATTCACAATCCAACTTTTACTAATTTCAACTTTCTTGTAGTCCATTTTTTATTAGCTTTTGGTATACGAGAACGCAAAATTAATAGAAATTACTAAAAGAAATACAAATTTGTACTAATTCCTGTATACAGGAACACACAACACTTTTTTTTGAAAATTAAAGGCATATCCAGTACAGGAAAATCATTGAAGCCTGCACATTGCCCTTTGAATAATATATAGTCTTACATACTACTTAGGAAAAGTACACTTAAAAGCGTAATAACTAAAGCGGTCCACTTGAGACACAAAAATGAAAGTCCTGAAACAATTTCCTATAGCATCTATAAATATATTTTCATTTTATTAGTTTTATTATTAATTAAATGCAGTTGAGAAAAATAACAGGAATGATTTCAATATTCACAAAAATTAATGTATGTCAAAATTAAATTCTCTTATTACAATTATTCCAAATAATCTGGAATAAGTCACATATAGCCGTACGTTCTTCGGAAACCGTAAGTGGTTGTACATTATTAGGATAATTAAAATTGTTATTTTTAAAATTCCCGGTATTTTGGACTTTTTCATTTAATGGCAGCAAATCGTCAAACAATACCTTCTTATTATCTTCGTCTGTTAAAGATGAGAAATAGTCGCTGTCAAAAACCATTCTATATGGTGGCCTTGCTGCAGCAACTAACTCATCAAGGATTTCATCATCTGAGTTTGCTTCTCCACTTAAGACAGCCTGATTGACCCAAATTGAATCAGCAACTGGAGTAGAAGCAAATAACCTTTTGATAGAAGTTCTGCCAGACTTTTTTTGAGTGTACATTTTTTGAACATATGCAGACTTGCTTGACGTTGTTATAGGGTTTTTTTGCACGAAACTATGCGTTGAACTTTTTTTATAAGGAGTCATTATGAAATTTAGTACTTCACATCTTATATCCAATTTTGAAAGATCGCTTTTACCTAGTATATTATCTAATAATCTCATGCACTTAATATCATGTGAAGAAGCAACCGATGCGCAAGTTCCATCGTAATAAGTAAAGTGCTCAAGTGCGACATTTTCATCATCGTCATCGCTTACTAATCGATCAAATAGAAATACCGACATTTTATTTTCTGATGTCTTATTAAACTTTTTCAACTATATCAACAAAAAGAAAAAAATAAAACGATTTGTTTTTATATTAAATTTAGACTAAAATGTCGAAGTCATTTACTTTGTCAAATTTTACACCAATTAGATACATGTAGCAGTTATGGCAAACTCTTTGAACAAACAATTTCCTGGTTTCCCCACAAAGTACACATATATTAATATTAGGCATCTTGTATTTATCTTGATAGTATTTATTATATATTTAATAGATATATAATAATGATACCAGAGAGACTTGAAAATACTAATGCAAACTTCTGAATGTCTACACAATAAAAACTTCTTGAAGTTTGTTCGTAAAACAGCAAATTTTTTTCATAAGTGAAACAAAATCTATACAAAATATAGCTGACTCTTTCTAAACATTAGTGTTGCTCACTTACAATTAATTGACAGAAAAAACAAATTCAATGTTATCTTTCTGTATTAATATTAATACTATTTTATACGAGAATAATTGAACCTATTATAGTTTGATTCTATATATTTCTTATTCTTATTAAACTAATATTTGTATATATATACCTATATACTAATATCATCAAAATTCATCAAAAAGTTGCAAAATTTTCATTGCAAAATGAATAGCAAATGAATAGCGATTATCTTACTAATAAGCTACTTATGCACAAGCACATAATATACTAATACATGTATATAACGAATAGCATGCGAATAGGTAGTTAATGAATCAACTTCAACTGAGTGAATACTCGAAATTAATAACCATTCAATACTCATAATAACAGGTTCAAGAAATTATGGTTTGTGTTGTATGTGCGTTTTTGACTGCTAATTCTCCTCTCAAGCAAAAATAGTTGCTGTTTATATCAAGTGTCAAATTTTGCGAATAGCAATATAATGAATATATTATTTATTAGTGAATACTTGCGCCTAAAATTGTGAATTAATCATTGTGCAAGAAATCTAAATAAATCAAATAACTTATTATACAAGCACTTTACGGACAATCTCTGGTATGCCACATATATGTGCTTCTAGAGTTAAAGACAGGAAGAAAACCTTCGGATTAGCTTTATTTTCTATGTGTAGTTAAATTTTGAATATATCAATATAAAACATCATTTAGGTGTTTTTCATTTAAAAATAATATATCAATAGTATTTCTGAAAAAAAAAAAATATGTAGCCACTATAGTAATTATTGCTTATTCTTTGACTGAATCTGACGATATGTTAAATATACCATTTGATTAAATTGTTAAACATAATTGTAATAGCATTACAGTAGTACTATTCTATTATTATATTACTATAAGATTTGATTGTGATGAGTCGGCGCACATATATATAGAAAAAAGAGGGCACGGCAAATTGGCATCTTTACTTCTATTTAGCATAAATTCTGATATTTCTACTAAACAACACTGGTTTGACAAACGTGACGAGGCACAAAAAGTCTTGAAATTTTTCCCTTTCTCTTTCTTTCACACTCAATTTTTAAATTTACATTGAAACAACTACATAACATATCACGAAAATATAACTGTCTATATCAGGGCTGTCCAGACCAATG